GGCACATGTCCCCCTGTCCTGTACCATGCCAGGAGCTCCCGCCTCCACTTCAAGAGCACAGGTGGAAAGGAAGCTATGGTCGAGACATGCGCTGCCTTGGCTGAGGGCCTTGGTACACTGGGTAGTTTGACACCTCCGGGAACCCAAAGGCCTGTCCCTCTTTGTGAGTTAAACAGAAAGTGTCAAGGTGGGGGCCTCTGTGTTGTCAGATATGGAGCCCTGGCTGAGCCGTCAGCGGACAGCTGTCCACTCTTCTCTGGTTTGGATTTCCAGAGCTGTCACAGCCTCCGAAAGCCCTCCGTTTGAGGACTGACTACCTTGTAGACGCTGTGGTGTCTATCCACTTCCTTCCTTCTAGGGTCTTCTTCAGCTGCCTCATGTTTGGGGGTGATCACTGCAGGGAGAAGTGAGGTCTCCTGCCCGCCCTGTGGACCTGAGGGGCCCTCGGCCTGGTCCTTGGGCACCTGGACCTGTGACAAACACAGTGACAACGTCACTGGCTTTCTGGGATCTTGTACAGGTTTTCAAACCCATGGTTGCTCTTCAGTGGTCAGCTCACATCGTTCTAGGAGGTTGCTTTTTGTCATCCTACCCAGAAATAGCTTCCTTTTGCGATTCCCTTCATGTTGCACTCACTTCAGTTGCTTTTGAATGCAGCACTCACTTCAGTTGCTTTTGAATTACAGCTCCCCACAGCCACTTCCTCTGCTGGGAGGCCACCCTGAGTACCCACATTGCATTTAGCCCATCTGGCCTCCTGATCGTTGCTTGACCCAGGGTAGGCACCAGTAAATATTCGTTGAATGAGTGCCTGAATAAACAGATATGTTCTTGTGCCCTCGGAGGGTCTGGCCAAGGGCGGACTTTACCAACTAACTTGGTGGAGGAGGTGGGCAGATTCAGTGAAGAGTATCAGGGATGTCTCGTTTGGTGTCCAGTGCTGCTTCCCACGCTCTTGCTGGCCACCAGCAGGCACCTGGCAGCGTGGGACCATCCCTCCTCAGGGCAGCTTCCTGGCTGTTCTTGGGAAGGCCCCACCACCCTTCCTTGCTGTTTCCTATCATCCCTACCCACTGCGTCTGAGTTCCGGGAGAGTTCAGTGTCCTCCCCTCCCCTCTTCACAGCCCAGTCTTTCGTCCAGCTCGGGAGCTCAGGTTTAGAGGTGTCTGCTGCTGGAGCAGGTTTGAGATGCAGAAGGGCAGACTCTCCATCCCACACGGTGGTTACGCCTGCAACTGAGTTCTTCCCTTCGGTCCAGGCCCCAAATGAGAAAATGCTCAACTTTTCTGGAACTGTCTGCAGAAAACAGTTCGATGTTCAGGATGAGAGGGGTTGGAAGGAACCCCTGAGAATAGCTCCAGGCACCGGTGCGGTGCCGCGCTCTGTACTCTCCAAGGCCTGTGCGAGCTCTCTTCACCGAGCTCTCTCCACTTCACTCTGCAGAGCCCCTGAGCTCTTTGCTTCAGGCCCTGGAGGGGGGCAGCCCCAGTTTCCAACCCCTCTTTCCTCACTTACTCATGTCTGATGGGGTGGGGGACAGAAGAGAGGCAAATTAAGTCAGCTTTCTAGATTTTTCTTTCTTTATTGTTACGAGATGGTAAAAACAGTGCTGGCAGTGCCTGCTTTGCACTTGCGTAAGGTGTAGGCAGCTGAGGTGAGACTGCAGCAAAGGGTCAGGACAGGGCAGCGCTGCCCTGAGAGCTAAGAGCAGTGCTGGCCTCTGAACACGGCAAGAGGCAGCGGCAGGATGCCCAGCCAGGAAAACCCTCCGCTCTCAGCCCACAAGTGCACAGCTGATGGCTGCAGGCTTCCCCTCCCGCATCTGTACTCCTGTGTCTGCAAGGGGAGGAAGCGGGTGCTGACCAGCGCCCCCACCCATGCGGCTGGAGCTCTCTTGCCAGGCAAAGCAAGCCAGTGAGTCTGGGTTTAGACTCTGTTCCTTCCTTCGGTTCCCTAAGCCCCTCCCCAATCCACGAAGTCATCTCAGCTAACTCAAAACCCAAGATGAAAGGTGCTGCCCATCAGAGAGCGACACCCTCCAAAAGAAAGCTGCCACTTGGAACACTGACTGCTAGCCACAGCTGGGTCCTGAGCTCAGGCTGCAGTTTTCTCCTCTCTGGCTTCAAACCACCTGAGAGCCCATCTGATGGGACTCAGAGAAGGGTGCTGGCCTCCGTGACTCAGGCAGGGAGCTGCGGGGCTGGGAGTGAAAGGAATGAGCAGGAATCTTATATTCTAATGAGAAAATAGCTTGGAGGAGTAGACATTCAATGGGAAATGCTTTAATGGCTGGCCCCACTAAGTCATTCTGGTCTTGGATGCCACCAGGACTTGGCGTGCTCCTGCGGGAAAGCTTCGCTGGTCTTGACCACATTTAATGTTGGCAGTCGGGATGCAAAGTGCCCAGCAGAGGCCTCAGCCCAAGGCTGCCCTTCTTGCCCCACTGCTCTGTGTTTTAAGAATGAGGGTTACTTATCTAGATGTGGTGTAGCCAGCAGACTAGGAGACAACTACCATTGACAGGATCCTGTGCTTTGTACTCTCTCAAGAAGGAAGGACACAGCTCCCAGTGGGGCCACACAGACACAGCAGAGTCAGGAGATGGCGAGGAGGGCAGCTAGGCCAGTACCTGTGCTGAGGGTTCATTCCACTCTAAGAACAGGCTCAGTACTAGCTTGCTTAGTAATCTTAGGGGCTGAGGGGCTCTTCCTAGTGAGCTAGGGCCTGGGCCCTGTCTTAGAATGTGAAGCCCCATAAAGGAGGTGTCTGGGCTGTGGGCTCCCAGGGAACTGTTTTGCATATTTAAAGATTTCTGCCCTAGTGTAAATTACTGTCCGGTTATGGCGGTGGTCTCACATGGCGGAAGGCCAAAGCAGGAACGCCTACCACTTCCTGCTTCTTCCTCAGCCCTAATTGCACCTCCCCTTCCTGTGTGCAGGCACACAGAATTCCAATCAGTCCCTCACACGCCATCAATATCTGCCCCACGCACCACTCCCGATCAGAGGTCATAGACCCCTCGGCCTCTCTGTATCCGGTTGAAGGAGATAGCCCAGCTGGCATGGGTTGTGTGCTCCACGTCCTCAACTCAATAAACCTGTTCATTTTGTACTTTTTGCTTCTCTATTGAGCCAAAATATGCTAAGACATGTGAATATGGAAGGTGTACTCACAGAGTATCCATGGACCGTCTGTGAGAACTGGGGAGCCCTGAAGGGAAGACCACTAGGGTCAGTGAGGCCCTGATGTCCAAGCATCGGAACAGTGAAAGTCAAAGGCACATGGGGACTCAGGTGGCAGCGGTGCACTGCTGCACTGAAGCCAATGATGGCTTTCATGGGCTGGAAAGTGGACACTGGGTCTCTCCACCTGCTGGTCCTCGGCAGTCACTCTGGGGCTCTGCATTCCAGCAGAACCAAACTCCTCGGAGTTTCCCATCAGCCCTGTGCCAGCCGATCTCCTGAGGTTCTTCTGCCTCCTTCCCAGTGCCATCTGCTCCATGAGAGACTTTACTTGGAGTGGGGTAAGGGCTCCCATCAGAACAGGCAGTGCCAGGCCAGAGCTCTGCCCATGGAAACTCCTGGGAGAAATGTCCTATTTTATTCTTACTACTTAAATGCCACCTCTCCTTTGAGGTGAGAGCAAACTCTTCTAAGAACTCTCTAGTCCATTTGAATTTTCTTGCCTCCTCCTCCAAAATTTGGGGCCTTGCAATTTAAAACATTGTTCAGTGCATGGGTGGTTTCTTAATTTCTCTTGCTGTGTACAGCTGGAAATAAAGTTGACATCTGATCTGTGTCCCTCCTAGGCTTCTGTGTCCCCCCACCATGGGGAGCAGGGATAAACAGGCCTTGTTGGCTCTTATCACCGAGAACCGTCCCATGGCACAGGAAGGCAGAGCTGTGTCTGGGGTGGGTTCTCGCCCTGGTCTGCTGCCCACTGCACCATCCATAAAGCCAGGGCGATCTGACAGCTGAGGACTCCGAGAGCTCCTGGGTGGAGCGGCAGCAATGCTTCCCTACCTGGCTGGAGAGTTGTCCTGGCCACCTTTAATTGTTCAGACCCTTCCACAGTGGGCTTCAGACTGATCTGTGATTATAACCGGATTTTTGGACTTCTAGTAACTGCAGAATTAAAGTGTTTGTCCTGCACTGAAAGAAGTGGAAAAGGAAAAGAGCAAACCAGTTTCTTTTTTCTCCTGTGTCTGTCCTCTGGTTTGCCATTTCCCTGCTGAACTACCTTTGTGAAGAGCAGCTCCGGTCATCTGCAGATCTGCAGGGGAGTTTGCTAACTTTGCCGGCCATCCTGTGGGCGGCTCCGTGGCCATTCCCCGCATTCCTCAGTGGCTTCAGGCTCCTGTGTTCCCCAGACTAATATGTCATCATCTCCGGGTGCTGTTACGGCCAAGCTAAGTAGACATGGCCACAGTGGGCTGAAAAAAGAGAGAGTGTGATGGGAATCAAAGCCCTCCCCGGCCAGTCTATCTCCACAGCTGTTAGTGGAGGGCTCCTAGTTATAGCCTCGCAGAAGGCGGACTGAGGAGTAAGTGGCTTTGGTAGCAAAGAGAGAGTGCATAACCGGAGCTTATGGGTTGTAGGTGGTGGAGCTCGGTCTGCCTGGTGGGAGACGCTCCCCTGGGGAGCCATTCCATCCGCAGGAGCCTCATTTTAGCATCACTTGTAATTTTTTTTTTTTTGGCCTTTATTTCTATGTGGTTTCTCCTAAGAAATAATTTATCTGGTCTCCCTTGTTAACTAAATTTAAGAAAGCCTTTATGCATGACACACACCTATTCAGCATGGGCACCTGTTCAACCTAGCGTTTGCATTGCTAAGAGTGACCACTGCTTCCTGTTCTGCTTGGAGATGACACACATTTCTCCGGGGTGTTCACCACCGAGTGTGGATTTCAACCTGTGTCTGGTTGGTCTTGGAGGAATTATAACTGTGGCTGAGCATGAACTAATTTTCTCTCTTCTTTTTCTCCACCCTTCCCGCCAGGATTATACCTTAACCATGTATTTTCAACAATACTGGAGAGATAAAAGGCTCGCCTATTCTGGGATTCCTCTCAACCTCACACTGGACAACCGAGTGGCTGACCAGCTATGGGTGCCCGACACATATTTCTTAAACGACAAAAAGTCGTTTGTGCACGGAGTGACAGTGAAAAACCGCATGATCCGTCTACACCCCGATGGGACGGTGCTGTATGGGCTCAGGTCTGTCTACCTCTTCGGGGCCAATTTTGCAGTCGCATGGTACACTGGCATTGAATGTCCCACTTGCGGTGATGATAGTGAGAGAAGCTGTGTCCTCAGATTAATTAGGAAGCATCCACGAAACACTGAGCTTTGCAGAAGAAAAAAGATTCATCACTCTAAGATTTGGGGCATTACTGTGACTAAAAATAGCCATCAGGCAGTTACAGAGCAGCCTCCTTGGAAGGATTGTATGTAATTGGCTGCCATATCTGAGGACGCAGATTCCTGGAGGGTGGATTTCCCACAACATAGCCACAAAAGGCCTGTAATTAATATTGCCCTGACACTGCAGAGGCTTTCATGAAGTTTTCTCAAAGCTAGTTTGACAGCTGAAAAGATGTCTGCTATGCAGATTATAAGGTACGGTCTCCACGGAGCTTCATTGTGCTGCAGCCACGAATATTTATGGCAATGACTAAGAGAGAGCTTCCAGATGAAAAGCGGCTCTCCCCAGGTCTTGTAGTGTAATTGCTCCAATCAAGAGCCAGGCTGCCTTCCTGAGCCCTGAGAAGGGCGACCTGGGTTTCTGGGGTACCCTGGAAAACCACTAGACTTTCTGAGGATGGTTTATCTAACCTCCATCACTGCTGGCCGCTACTTATTTTGAGTCTTACCTTGCTAAATGGTACTCTTGAATCCTCTTCTCTCTTGCACCGCCTTGCTCTGAGTTGTGTGTGTGTGTGTGTGTGTGTGTGTGTGTGTGTGTGTGTGTGTGTGAATCTCCCTGCCTACACATGTCCATCATAGGAGTGGCTCGCAGCTCTAAATGGAACACATAGGAATATCATGGAACACACAGGAATATCATGGAACACAGGAATATCATGGAACACATAGGAATATCATGGAACACATAGGAATATCATGAATCTCAAACTGTGGTGAGCCTGTAGCTTTCCATGGAGACTGCACAGCTAAAGGAGGAAACAGCAATACAAACTGCAATCCTCACCTTTGTGCCCTTTCGTGCCTTGAGATGAGGAGAGGGGACTATGAAACTTTCCCTTCGGTAGGAAGTGTTAAAGCACTTTTTCTTTAAACCACAGGATTAGAAGAAATTTTAGGATTTCTGCCAAAGCAGACATTTTTCAATTCTAAGAGAAAAAGGTAGTATAAGTCTACCAAGCGCTCATGACTTTTTTACAAAGATTCCATGAAGTTTCTTTGGGAAATTTTCAGCATTTTATGCTTTTAACAGATGTGATGGAAAAATCCCTGAAGTTCTGTCCAGTGTATCATTTGCACAGATTATCTAGAAACCTTGCGAATGTGAAGTGAGGAGACATTTACCTGCCCCCCCATCTCCCCCACAAAAATGAGGCAGAAGGGCTGGGGATTTAGCTCAGCGGCATAAGTGCCTGCCTTACAAGCACATGGTCGTGAGTTTGATCCCCAGTACCGATAAAAAATTTTTTTAAAAAGTTTAAAAAAAAATTAGGCAGAAGCCACTATGTGCATGTGAATATTTGCACACATTTGTACAGGTGTGTGGATCTGTGTGTTCACGCCCTTTGCCTGTCTGTATGTGTGTGTGTGTGTGTGTGTGTGTGTGTGTGTGTAGATAGGAGAAAGCAATGATAAGGAAATATGAAAATTAATCTCTAATATTTTAGTTTTGAAAACAAAACATATTAGCTGCTGTCTCCATTTTTGCTTTTGCATTCTTAATTTCCTCACCAGAAGTAGCGGATATCAGTATGTTTTTGTTAAAAACAAGTAGCTTTAACTCTTTGGGGACAGAGTTATGTAACAGGCATGAGAGTGCTATCATAAATTTTGAAATTTTATTTAAAACTGTTGGACTAAGCATCGCAGAACAGGTAAGAGTACAAAAAAAGCAAGAAAAAGTTTTAAAATTCTGTCTTTTGCTAATACTTGACCTACCTTTAAGTTTACATGTACCAATTAAGTAATAATGGAATAATAAAGTATGGCACAATATTTTTATCTGTTTAGTCAAAGTTATATATGTTATGCCTTTCAAACAACCTTCTAAATCAGCAAAAAATTTCTTAAAGATGTGGCTGAATTTATTGATGCATAGTCTCCTTATATTACTTAGAACTTTATTTTGAATCTCCTGTCTTGGAAATAATTCTTCAGATTTTTGTGAATGCAAAATGTTATGAAGAAAATCTCTAACTGTAGACAAACCATCATATTCTATGTGTGTGTGGCCATTGTGTGGTGTCCTGACTTTCTGGAAGTCAGCTAATGTGGGCATTTCTGCTTTGATATTTTTAAAAACTACATAATTGCAACTATAATTTGAAATTTTGAAACAAAAGGTATTAAAAATTCTGACTTATAAAATTGCACATATATATTAATTTTATAGTCTTCTATGTAAACTTAAGAACTACTATAGATATATTTCAAAGTCTCTGTGTGTGTGTATTCTGATAAAAATAACTCGGCATGTGTGCCCACTTTGGCGGCCACTCTAATCTTGGCCCCAAATCTTATCTTCCTTTTTATTACTGTGCTTGCTGATGGGGAGACCAAGGCTGGGCTCAGGTGTGTAACTTCGATACATATTTACCCTTTTTTATCCTATGGCAGCTAAGTACAGCTGCTCCTGGACTTACGATGACCTTATTTTCTGATTACCAATCGGAAGTTACCAATCACCACAGGTAGCAGTGTAACCTCCTGTACGGTGATGTTTCTTGCTGATGCCCAGCATTACAGGAGACAATCGTACTGCATATCGCCCCTGGGAAAAGCCCAAACTTCGGCACCCGATGTGTGGTTTCCAGTGATGTGTATTACTTTCACATCATTGTAACGCTGAGCACTTGGGAGTTGAACCACGGTTAAATGAGACTGTGTGTACTGTGCACGGCCCTGGAAAGTGGGAGCAGCTGAGAAACAAGGGAGTTCAGTTCCCCCCACTGGAAGGCTTTCAGGCTCTGGGTCCCTGCGGCTCACAGGGAGGAAGGGCTGGCTGTGTCTCTGAGGTCTTAAGCTGGAATCTGTCTCACTGCTGGACACTGTGCTTGGCCCTGGGATACCTGTGCAGCAGGAGCCCACACTGGTAGGTCAGGCAGCACTTTGCCCCTCTGGGTTCCTTTCTTGCTTGTGCAGCCATCGCAGTATCAGGATCCACAGGGGCTTCTGCCTTCTCTGTGATAGATGAGCATCTTCGGCTGGAGACAAGCCTTCCATGGCGTAGGTTCCTGCGTCATCCCAGCCTTATTCTGGGAAATCATTGATCCTTCACTCTGATGACTGCAGAAGTAGTCCATCACGTCCTCAGGATGCTTGGGAGGGATTGTGTTCTCACAGTGGCCAAAGGTCACTGTAAATGGAGCGCCATTCTTTCTGAATCCCATTGAGCTTGAAAGCCAGCCAGACTTGCTTGTGTTTGCCCTCACAGGCTCCATGGATTCCCTAGCATCTGCAGAGGTGAGGCCAGAGGGGCTCTGCACAGGGCATGCTGCACACCACCCTGCCTAAGGAAGCCCACGAGTTCTCCCAAGTGCCCCGTGCAGTCAGGCTTCTTGAGGCACTGGGGCAGTCTGTGCTGCGGACTCCTGGGCCTTGGTTCTGCCCCACCCAGCTTCCTGTTTTCTCCTGAACTGGGGTGGAGTTTTGCACTGTCCGTGAGAAGGTGGAGTCACTGTTTCATTACACGATTTTCCTGGCCTTAGTCTCTGGATACCCCCACATCACACAGAGTCTCGTGTGCAGTTAAGCATGTGGTCTTTTCTTCCTCCATCTCCAATCTCTTTCTGTGATGCAAAGGGAGCATAAGGGGGTCATGGATAGAATTCAGTTTGCTCCAAAAGCACCTGAGACTCTGAGATCTTTACAAGGAAATTCATTTTGTCTGAGAAGTTTGCTGAAAAACCTGTTGGACAAAATATTGTATTAGTTAAGATATATGCTGTTAAAATGGCTCGAAATGGTTAATGTTGTCATTTCTGTACATAACAGTTTGAAAGCAATATTAAGTCAAAGCTAGAAAGTATTTCAGAATATTCAAATTAAGTTGTTCCAATAAGCTAGCCTGTTACTCTGAAGCTAGAAAAATGTAGTGCTTCTGGTGATTTTCCATTTCACCCCAGCGATGCTGTAAGCTCCTAGCAGCATTAAGGTCCAGCTGACTTGAGTGTAAGTGCTGCCTAACTCCCAAATACTTGGTTTGTCAGTGTTTATTTCTTAATTATTTTTAGGTAAGTAAGCAACATTAATAAAGCACTTTCTAGAAGGGATTGTGCCAATTTGTATTCTCCAGTGATTATTTATATTAGCTTTAGGACTGTGACACTGACATTGGGATTTGTGGTAAAAGTTACTAAAAATAGTTAATCCTATTCCTTCAACTCTCTAGGCTGGAGAAATCCCCCACCTCACTCTCAATCCAGACTCCTGCCCATCTCTGCTTTCCTCGTCTCCCAAGCATGACCCTTCTTTCCTCTCTTTGCTTCTTTCTGTTTCTGTTCTCTCTTCCAAACTTCGCCCTTTCTCCCCTTTGGAGGTATCTTCTCGTGCTTTAGTTTAAAGCACAGTGATCTCTTGCTGATAACTTGGCTCCTGTGGCTGTGACCCGTCCAGCTGACGTTCTCTCCTTGCATCTCTACTCATCACAGTCACAGTGAGTGGACTCCATGCCCCTGTCTCAAGGCCTTTGCCCTTTCTCTTTTCTGGATGCAGAGGGTCCCATTGTTAGATAGGAGGTGTCATAGAAAATTATCATTAGTGTTTGAATTTAAGAATATTATTACAGTAAACCACACACTGCCATTCACCTCCCTCGGAAGAGCCCCTTTGCTTCCCGTACAGCACGTAGCCCGTTCTGCTTGCCGCTTTCTGCTGTGGGTCCAGAAGTCCTCTTCCATGAGCGTTTTTAGTTGGCCTGACTGAAGCATGGCCCTCGCATGGTGATTTGACTCTGGGAAGATCCAGCGTTGCCCAGCACCACGTCTGGTGAGCGAGGTGAAAGAGGCTGGCTC